CCCGCCTCTCTAAACGCGTTGGCTGGCCGCGGCCGCAGTAACGTTGATGTCGGCGGTGAGGCCCGCGGCCCTTCGCGGCTGATAGGTCAGGGGCTCAAAACGGCCCACATCGAAATAGTTCAAAACAATTTTGCTTTCGAATAACAACGATATTTTGTAATTAGCGTAATGAATATCGACCCCTTACTTTGTTTGCGAATTAATGTTGACCGCCCGCGCCCGGCTTGACCCGCTGTCAGGAGGGGGCTGGTCGGATTGTAAACAGTCAAACAAAAGAAACAAACAAAACGACTCATCTTTTGGCAATTTGCTTGATTCAAGACTTTGTTGCTGTCCGCCCGAAAAATGCTGTAGTTGACGTAACTACACTGCCCCCTTTACCCCCGCTCTCTCACGCTTGCTTTTTTCTTTTGTCTTTTGCTTTCACGAGATGAAAACAGCCGAGGGAGCGAGGCGCGGGCGAGCGCGCGCCCCGCCTGTCGTGAGGAATGGCTGTTGGGCGTGGGATTGAATGGTGGTGATTTGAGAATATTGGAGCGATGGCGTAGGGGGGCGGTGTGGGGTAGAGAGGGGAAGGGGGCTCCTCCCGACGTTATCGATTGCCGCCAACAAAAGGGCGAGGCAGCGCAATCAAATTATTATGATTACCACAAATTTCGCTCATTTTTTTTCTCGCATGGGAAAGCAGCAAATCGCCTATGACACGAGCAAATTTTCTTCGCGCAACGAAAATAAGTAACGGCAAATGATAAATATATATGAGAAAATATGACCAGCCGAGAAGAACGATAACAACACGACCTCCACCTACACGACAGCTCGGCCGGGGAGCGTAGCGGTGCGTGGCGCAACTTTCCAGACGCGCGCGAAAGCAAGAGGCGCCAGCGCCACACGGGGCTGCCGCCGCGCCGGTCGGGCCGGCCTATACCCAAGTATCCCGCACGTTCCCGCTGTAAATACTGGGCCGCGTGGCGCCGAGGCGTGGGCTGCGGGGCGCGAGGTTATGCGCGCTTGTTGGAATCATGCGCTGGGGCCGCTGCCGCCGCCGGTGTTTACCGAACCTAGCCGAGCAAAAACTTTTCCAGCTCAAGAACAACTCTAACTAAATTTGCCTGGCAAACTTGCGTTCTGGGCGCTCCCGAACCGGCCGCCGCCGCCGCCGCCGCTGCCGGTCCGAAACGGTTCTCAAGAAATGGACGTTGGGGAGGAGAGGGGCTGCGGTGGGGTGGGCGGGGGGCAGCGAGGTGCGTCAGCAAGAAGGACACAGCGCGCCCGCGGCGGGTTTTGCACACGCAAGGCGAGCGTCCATTAGCTGCGCAGCTTGGTCCTTGTGGCGGTGCGCTTGTATCTCCAGCCCTTCCCCCTCGCAAAGGTCTATTTCCATTAATACAAACGTCCTCGTTACACAAAGAACATGCGAAATAATTAATTTCATGTTGTATACTGTGACGCAAACATAATATAATATTATTGTTTGAAGGTGACCGTTAACCTTGGGCTTGGATCAAGGCTCCTCTGAATTTCTGAACTTCAAGCAAGGTCACCTGTCAAGTTCGCAAAAGTGAAACAGAGGAGTAATCGGAATAGTATGCTGGCATCATGAAATAGAAACGCTTTCTGCACAGGGCACAAGTGGTGGAGGCGAGAGGCAATCTCGACACCCAACCGCAACCGCACACACGCAACAACACGCGCTCTGCGAGGGACGGCGAGTGAGAAAGCGTTCCGAAGAAAGCAATATGGTGGCAACAAAGTAGAACGAAAACAAAAACTAAATAAATTGTTGTCATATCGTTTTTGTTTTTCTCTCGGACGGCTCATCACACGGACCGGGGACGGCTTGGGCGGGATTTGAGAGCAATATCGTTGTTTGCAGCGCGCATGCCAACGCTTGAGCACACGGAAGCCGAAAATCCCGCCATCCCCTCCCGGCGGGAAACCACACAAAACAGCAGCAGCAGCCGCCCTCCACTGCCTTACGGGACGGCTTATGTCGCATTTACGGAAATTCTTTTTGTTAGTGGAAATAATAATAACAACAACGTCCCTTGACGACAGCAGCGGGACAGTGAGTGGATGGGGAAGGGTGAAAGTGGGAAGAAAGGGAGGGG